ATTATATCTTGAGAACAGATTTGTTTGTAACCCAATAGCAAACTTAGTAAAACTGAGTGGGGGCAAATAGTGTTCTAAAGACAGTGTCTTTAGACATGCTTCAGAGCTTCTCCTCCAAGATTCTATGACCCCAATTCCCAACACCTACACCAGCCATCACCATGATGAACTATCCCCTCACCCTTGAGCTAGTAGCCAACCTCTTGATAGAAGCATCTACACTCCCAATGTATCACTGTTTGGAGGACTACCACAATACAGAGGCTTACAACACTTTGCTATCATCCTCATCAACCTAGTTGCACACTCAGGTACATTATATATCTATCATCCATCATTTATTACAAATTTATATTCACATTTGTATATCTGTACATTTGTTTTGTTTCTTTACTCCATTTAATTTGCATCATGAAAATTCTCTCATGGAATATATGGGGAGCTAATGACAGCAAGAAAGTAAGAGAATTAACTAAGATCTGTAAAAATGAAAAACTAGATGTTTTATTTCTGTCAAAAACAACATTCTCTTTAGTTAAGAGCTCATCCTTGACTAGAAAATTAGGATTTGGTCAATTTGTTTTCCATGAATCCTTAAGCCAATCCAGTAGGTTAATCTACTACTGGACAGGTTCCATAGACACCCAGGTACTAGTGCACAATCACTTTATTCATTTGGAAGTTTTGAATTCCCCGTCGAATAAATCTTGGCAGTTATTACTTTTTATGGTCATCCAATCTGTCATCTCCACAAAGCCCTATGGACACAAGTCACCCAATTGCAAATGAACACCAACCTACCATGGATACTTATAGGTGATATTAATGACATATACAGACTAGATGAAACAGCAAACCTGTCCTCTCCAAGCACATGCAAAGTTTTATTAATACCTTCAACCTAATTGTTTTTTACTTTGTTGGACCTCCATTCACTTAGTCCAATTGTCAACAAGGGAGAGCTGAAGTCCTAGAGAGGCTGGGCAAGGCTCTAGCTACCCCATCTTGGGGCTAATTTTTCCCAAATTCCCTTCTCTAGCACTTTCCAATCACCACCTCGGATCACGGGCTCATCACACTCTCTGCAACACCACCATCCCCTCCCAAAAGAAACCTCATTTTCACTTCTTACATTTTTGGATTGACCACCCTCAATGTAAACAAATTATCATTGATTCTTGGAATCAATATATACAAAGATCACTTGCTCACCAGGTCATCACCAAGCTGAAACTATGCAAATCCTAACTCAAAGCCTAGAATAAAAGTCATTTTGGAAAAATCTAGAATCACTTTCAAAATATCTCCAATTAAATTTCAACTTTGCAAATGAATGCCCTAGACAAAAAGCAACATCAACAGCTCAAGTCCCTTATAGACCAGTATCCGTACTCGCTATTGATGGAAGAGCAACTATGAAGGCTCAAATCACATGAACTTTGGCTTCACGAAGGTGATAGAAATAGAAAATTCTTTCACCATATGGAAAACTTCAAGAATTCAAAGAACATCATTGATTGGCTGAAAACTTCAAATGGTTCTTAGACATCAAGTTGTGCCACAATAGCCTAATCTTTCAAGAGTCTAATTCTTGATACAGGAGGTCAACCAAAAGTCTTTGACCCGTGCATGTTGAACAATGTTCTCCTCCCTACCTTAACATCATCACACAAAGACATGCTGCTCCTTCCTCCTACCCTTGAAAAGATATCTTTGGTGGTCAAGTAGATGCATCCACATAAAGCTCTAGGTCTTGATGTTTTCACACCATTCTTCTATCAACTTTTTTGGGACCTAATTGGTCATGACATCTTCTCTATGGTTCTCAAATTTTTCAATACATAATACCTACCAAAAGAAATCAACAATACAAACTTGGTCTTTGTTACAAAAAATAATAAGCCTATGGATACTTCAACTTATCGACCCATCAGTTTATGCAATGTGCTCTACAAAATAATATCAAAATGGATGGTTCTTTGTCTTCAACCTGTCCTGTAAGAATTGATATCTCCATTTCAATTGGGTTTCCGTAAGGGCAGACAAATAACAGATACCATTCTTTTAGTGAAGGAGATTCTCCATACAATGATGACTCAACAAAGAGGGAAGGGACATATTGCTCTCAAACTAGACATGTCTAGGCTTTTGATAGAATGGGATAGACCTATTTATATCATGTATCCCTAGAAAATGGTATAACATGATTCATCAATGCATATCCACTACTACATTTTCAATCAAAATTGCGGGACAGACCCATGATCACTTCCACCTAAATCGTGGTTTAAGACATTGTGATACCATTTCCCCTTTTCTATTTATTATTGGCATGGAAGTGCTCACACAACTTCTCTTTTAAGCTTCTTCCTCAAGTCAAATTGAAGGTGTTCAAATATGCTGTAATGGCTCTCCCATTGCCCATCTCTTCTTTGTAGACGATTGCATCCTATTCTGTAAAGCTAATATAGTCCAAGTTAGAGTTCTTGCCAATATCCTCAAGACATTTGAAGTCATGTCAAGCCAAAAAATCAACCATGAGAAATCAAGCATCTCCTTTAATAGAAATGTCCCTCGTCATCACCTTAAGTTCTTCTCTCATATTCTATAGGTTAACAAGCCCCTCATAGGTACTAAATATTTAGGCATCCAAATTTGAACTAACACTCGCTTATTATGTGCCTTTCATAAAGAAATCATTGATCATGTGTCATCAAGAGTAAACTCATGGACTATTTCAAGCTGGAAGAACCACCTGTGTCAAATCAAAACCATCCCTACTTACTCGATGTCAACAATTCCCATCCTCAACAAATTCTTAGCTTGATAGAATAGTTTGGTAATTTTGGTGGGGAAATTCAAGTCACAAATCCAAACATACCATCTCTTGGAACAAAATGTGACGCTCCAAAATCCAAGGTGGTTTATGTTTTATATCTAGTCGAACCATGAATCAAGTCATGTTTGACAAGCAAATTTGGTTGTTATTCGTAGATAGTCAAGAGTTATGGAGTAAACTAATTAAAGAAAATACTTCCCTCATACCTCTCTCTGTTTGTAGCTAAGAAAGGTTGACATAGCTCTCATTAGTGGCAGCAAGTTCATCAATTGTCATTGTCCTTGCGAACTAGACCTGTTCATGGGCCGGGTAGTCTGGCCAGCCTAACCTGGTTCCCGGACGGGCTTGAACAAGGTTTTTAGCCCGCGGGCTTGACCTCGAGCCTAAAAACCTAACTCAATTTTTTTTCGGACTGGGCTCGGGATTTATCAAAATAGTCCAACCAAAGCCCGGCCTAACCCGACTTTTGTATAACTTTAAACCCTAAATAATCCTAAACTGACTAACCCTTCTCACTGTCAGAATCTTAGGCTCACTTGATTTGGGAGCGTTTTCTGACGAGAAATTCGATGTAAAGAAATGGATCAATGTGGTCTACCAATCTTAACACCCTCAAGACCCAGTGGAGAAGCACTTGGCGGATCTGGAAATGAAGTTGCAGATGATGTCCGAAGAGATTGCTGCGTCTCTGGAGGAGTAGAGCAGTGTCTCTCCGTGCGCTAGCCGTGATGTCATTCACCTCCGTGATGATGTCATCTCTCTCTAGAATTTTGTCACTGACATCTTATTCAAGCTCAAAAAGGTACCCAGATCCATCATCTATTCTACTAAATTCTTTATCCTAGTAGAATTTTAGTTCGTTTAAAATAACAGATCCAAGGTGGAAATTTGGTGGCATTTCTCTTTGGTTATTTAACGCAAACGACCTGAATTGAATTTGATGGAGATTGGTCTGTATCCATCCGGTCCATTTTTTTACGAAAAAATAGGAAAATCCCATTTCAATCCAATCTGGGCTAGGTCAAGCTTCGGGCGTAGGTTCGGGCCTGAAAAAATCCTGTTAATGAAGAGTAAAAACCCATGAACAAGTCTATTACAAACTAACCTACTTTGGTTAGTTAAAGATGACTCCAATATTTGAAATGGGATTTAGTCGGTGCAAAGCCCGCTCAAACAACCATCATGGCCGCATTGGGAATATCTCTCCATGAAATAAAGCATAGAACTACGGAAGTATTCCCGATGCAAGGCTGTAAAGGCTATTCAAATAGTATTCAAATGGGCCTTGATCCAAGCCGATCTCCAATATTTCAACAATGGGAGACCTTGGATTCCATCATTGCCGGGTCATATACCACATTTAAATACATCAATAATGCAAAACCACCCACCACATTTAAACCCTTACTCATCATGCAATGCGTGTTTATTCTGTCAAATGCCCTTTTTCACGAGCCGTTTGAAAACAGGATTCAGCAGCCATAGCAAAGTCCATTGAACATCCATCACATTTGAAATATCTCTCCATAAAATAAAGCATATAAATACGGAGATATTCCGATGCAAGGCTGTTCGAACGGACTTTGCTCTGACTGAAGCCGATCTCAGCCGTTTGGTGCACAATTCAAGTTGGGTTAAACCCTTTTTCTCTATCACCACAACTAGTGCACATCAGGTCAATGTGTTCTTACTGTGGTAAGCAACAAGCACAGATAAGCCTTGGCAATTTCAGTTTTGGTCAGCTATAGAAAGCATGAAATAAATTGCTTCTTCAAAAGATTCCACCAGACCTTTTATCAGTGGTTCATACAATCGATGAGCTTACTTATTAATTCCCAACTATTTCTTTACGAATCGCACCCACTTAAACAATAATAATGTTAAATGTGGGGCCCTTTAAGCATTTACTAACACGTGTCAAAGAACTGTGAAGCGTGAACTAGCATGTCGTGCGGGGAGATCCCGTAGAAGAAACGGAGGCCGCGAGAAATTGCCTTGAATGTAACTATGTAATGTAAGAGCTTTAGTACTGGACATTGGTATTTTCGTTATTTCCCGAAAATCCAGTGGCAAACTGGATCCAAGAAAAAAAAAGCCAACGACCCACAGTTTCGGTTACCTGCCGCGCGTAGCCTTCCACCTTTTATTCCTTTGCCAGCCTTATGTTTTCGCTTCACCCGCAGACGGCAGACCTGAAACCAGCAAAAGAGGAGAGAGAAAGAGAAAGAGAAAGAGAAACCGAGAGAGAGAGAGAGAGAGAGAGAGAGGGTGTCTGAAGCAAGCAAAATGAAAAGGGGATAAGATCTGTCGCGAGAGAGATGCATTCCAGGAAATCAAGCATGCATTCTCCTCTCACCCTCCGAAGCTCCACCTATTTTGTTTTCTTCTCTGTATCTCAATCCCGTAGAACCCTAATCGGCGCTAACCACACCTCCGCTCGCTTCTGCTCTCGCTAGGGTTTGGGTTTTTCCCCGCTCACGGAATACATATCATCCTTTATTCTTTCTTTTGTTATTATCATTGTTTTTTCTTCCTTTCTTTTCAAGACAATAGAAGACATCTTCTGTCAGTGATGGAGCCTGCAACAGGGAAACGAAGCTTCTTGAGAAAAATTCTCGTTCGTGCGCTTTTCATTTGTGTTTTCATTTTTCTCCTTCGATTTGCATACGTCGTCACTATCAGGGGTGGATCTTGTGATGCCGCCGACTTCTGCTTCTTCTCCGCTCCCGAGAACTTGAACTTTGCCGGCAGTGGTGCCGTACGGATCGGCGCCTCCTCCGTTGTGGTCGACAGCGTGGGATCTTCTTCCAGCTCGGCTCTTCGTGACCTATGGACTAGCAAAGAATGGCGCAAGTCCGTTGACTACTATTCTGCCATCTTCCAAGATCTGATCACCGAAGGTTATCTCTCACCGCAGTCCAAAGCTTTATGCATCGAAACGGTGAGCGGACAAGACGTCTTCGCTCTGAAGGAAGTCGGTGTTCTCGACGCAATCGGAATCTCTAAGAAGAAATACCCGCCGTTGGTAGTCTCAGGTCAGGCCTTTCGCCAGCCGTTCGAGGAGAATACCTTCGATTTCGAGTTCTCAGGGGCTGGTGGGCTTGACCGGTCGGTTCGACCGCTGGATTTTGCTTCTGAGGTTGCTAGGACGCTTAAGCCCGAAGGGTTTTTGGTCGTCCATACGGCTTCGGTTAAAGACATGTACAGCTTCAATACGTTTTTGGGTTTGTTCAATTGTTGTACGTTGGTCCGATCGCGCGACTTTGGTGGCCCTGATTCTTCGATGCCGTCTATTCGCGAGATCGTCCTGAAGAAAGAAAGTGGAAAGATTCTTAGCCATGGGGCGCCGAAGAAGCCCGGTGGCACTTCAGTTAATAAGTGCTCTGTTCCGGGGTACAAACACGAACTGATCCGGAAGGCAGAGCCATTGATAACAGAGGAGCCGTTGAAGCCTTGGCTTACTTTGAAGAGGAATATAAAGAACGTAAAGTACCTTCCTTCCATGGCCGATATAAGCTTCAAGCAGAGATATGTTTACGTTGATGTAGGGGCTCGGAGTTACGGGTCCAGTATTGGCAGCTGGTTCAAGAAACAATATCCCAAACAGAACAAAACCTTTGAAATCTATGCCATTGAAGCTGATAAATCTTTCCACCACGAGTACAAAACTAGGAAGGGGGTCACTCTCTTGCCGTACGCAGCGTGGGTAAAGAATGAATCCTTGTTCTTTGAAATTAATCGAGACCCAGGTCATAAAGGTGAACCGGGAGGTAGAGGAATGGGTCGGATTCAACCAGTTCAATCTTCTACTAATTTTGTCGGAGACATAGATAAGATTCGTGGTTTTGACTTTGCACATTGGTTGAAAAACGCTGTCTCCGAGAATGATTTTGTGGTAATGAAAATGGACGTGGAAGGAACAGAATTTCATTTGATCCCTAGGTTGTTCGAGACTGGAGCTATTTGTTTGATTGATGAGATCTTCCTCGAATGTCATTACAATAGATGGCAGAGATGCTGTCCTGGCGAGAGGACTTCCAAGTATCAAAAGACTTACAGCCAATGCTTGGAACTTTTTACTTCTCTCAGAGAGAGTGGAGTTCTTGTTCATCAGTGGTGGTAATTCATAATTCCCTTGAACATCTTCTGTAACCTTTCTTTTTTTTTTTTTTTTTTTTATAGATACTTGTCAATTTCACAGTGGAAAATTTGTATCTCGTTCTTTTCTCCCTCTTGAAATCTTTTTCTCCCTTCATGCAAATGAAAACCAACATCTTGGGATTTTAACACTTATTTTGGAGAATCATTTTAATCTTGTCTTTCATTCTTATTGTCTTTGTCGTGCTCGGACAGTAAGAAGGGATAAACACAAATTTTGTTGTTTATGCGATCATTGATACATTGCTGGACGATGAATAGACACCAACAGATAGCTTGAAATGATGATGGGATATTGATTGTTCGTTCAGAAGGTGGTAAAAAGAATACGCAGGCTTGGCAATTGGGAGGGTTTGATTTGCACTTCAACCCGCCTTGACCTAACCCTTTTAATGCATAAAGTGACCCATTTTTGGCCTTGATCCTCCCAAATTTTTGTGCTGGGATTTGCAGTTGTTATAAGGAGCATAGCCTGGCTCAGGTCTGATCCGACCCGCCCCTTGACCCTCAAGTAAACCCAAAAATACATCAATAACACAGACACACACACAGTGGACGCCATGGCCCATGGTGAAGGAGAGAGGAGAAGTCAATCGGTCTGGGGGTGGTCTGCTGGAGAAGTGTGTTTGTCCTACTCTAGACCTTTAAAGGACTAGAAGGCCAGGTGGAGTCCACTTTTTTGAAGGGGAGTCTAGTGGTTCCAATTTTTTCAATTGAGCAATAAAGGCTAAAAGCCTTTTTAGTAAAAGTCTGGGGCCTCTGTCTCCTATTAAGTTTAAAAGGTCAAGGAATATGAGTCGGGGAAGTGGCACGCTTACTGCTCGAAAGGGATCAGGATCGAAGTGGATCTGGATGATCACCAAATTTGTGAGAGATGCTCAACTGGAAAATGGAATGAAGTATAAGGAGCTTGGTGAGTCTCTTTCTGTTCAGCCTTCCGTTCCTAGTCTGCTGGTAGCAAGTTCCAGTGGGCATCCCAGTGATGCTACAGTGGTGGCTGAACATGGATCTTCATCCAAGGAGGTTGTTGAGACTTTGGGGAAGCCCTATTCTATTGATACTTTTCAGCCAGGTGAGTTATGTATGGACGGAGGTGTTGAGCTGAGCTCTCAAGGTTTGGAGATGGGGGGATTGGTTGGTTCCATGGATGGAGTAGAAAGAGAGAAAAGGGATGGGGTAGAAGGAGATAAGTTGGGAGGGAGTGGTGGGGGGAAGATAGCAGTCTGTGATGAAGCTAAGGAGATTGGGTGCGCCAACATGGCTCTGGACAAGACTGGGTCAACTGAAAATAGGGAGGATTTGTCAACTGCTCAAGTGTTGGTAGGCAAGCTGGGTGTAGACCTGGGTCGTAGGAGTAAGGAGTTGGTGAAGTGCAAGTAAGATGCTTCAGCATTGACTAAGAAGAAGATGTCGGGGGAGGAGTCAATTAAAAGTGAAGGGACAAAGGGTGCCAGTCAGGAATTTAAGAAGATGGAGGGGGAGGTGGTGTCAACGGGGGAGGAGTTGAATGGAGCTTGAAGGTGGGGGGTGACAAGCGCGTATGGTCCGAACTCAGAAGGGAAAAAGGCTGAGTTTTGAGAAGATGTGGGATGTTTGAGGAGGACGTAGGTCAAATTTGGGGGCGATTTTTTGGAATGTGCTTGAAATTGAAATACAGAATTTTAACAGCTCTTAGTATGGCACTTTCTGTTTTGACAAGATGTGGGATGTTTGAGCAGGATGTAGGTCAGATTTGGGGGTGATTTTTTGGCTGTACTTGAAATTGATATGCAGAATTGTAACAGCTCTTAGTATGGCACTTTCTGTTTTTGTGGGTGTTGTGTTGTTGTCGAGGTGCCATCTTGTCACCTCCTTTTGTAATCTTTTCTTTTAATAAATTTTTATTATTACTCTTCAAATCACACACACACACAAACACTAATTATTTATGGAAAGTGTGAACTATCCAGTTTACTAGGAAAATAGTAGAAGAATTAAGGCCACTGTTGTAAGACTTGAACCAGACTGAATGGTTGGTTGGATCGATGACTCACTGACCTTTCTGGGTTTTGGTCAAATGATGGTTTTCACAGTTTGAGTGGACACTTGACCCAATGAGCTTTTTGGTTTTGTGTCTGGTCCAAGTTTTACAACATTGATTAAGACATGCATGCATACTCTAGGATACCTATATAAATTATATGGGTCTGACAATGCTGAAAATGTCATCATACCTGAAAATTGATGATTTCCATATTCAAAGTAGATTGAGTGGTTACTTATTACTTCAGGTTCAGGTAATTAAAACCTATTGTTTGAACTGGAAAGGGAGTGCCTTATTTGAAAAGTGTTTTATGTCTGCCGAAACATGCATTTGTCATCTGATGTATTTTTCTTGATCAAACATCCTCAGCTTTGCCTACCAGCTTGGACTTTGGATTATCTGCAGGTGGATCAACTCCTAGATTCTAGAGATTGATTGGTCATCAGCTTTTTTCCCCTTTTGAAAAAGGTAAAATATGGATGTGTTTTGTATTACTGTATCAGAACCAAATTACAATAGTCCTGAAAAACCAGTGAGGGCTGTACAGGAAAGCTATGGAAAAGACCACCTCATCACATAATTCCATTTAAACAAAAAGTTTTTTTTTTTTTTTAATGAGAAAGTAGAGTAAGATGGTCGGGGTACATGCATAGAAGACCGTCAATAGAACCTGTAAGCATTGTTTTCAAGATGCCAAGGCGAGACAAGGTGACAGGGGGGGGGGAGAGTGCACTTAGGCATTGATGGATTTTTTTTTTTATTTTGAGTAAAACAATATATCCTAGGATAGTTCCCTAGGTTCCATAACCACATTTCCTTAATAATTATCCACAATTTTCATAAGAAAAGTATAAACGCCATGTTAAAGTATAGAAAATCAACATATCCATGAGAAGAAAAGGAAGAAAGAAAAGAAAATTCAGAAAACATAGGGGCTGAACCCCTATTTTTGTTATAGGAAAAGATGAAAAGAAATGGTGGAGGAAGATGTGGAAGAAGAAAATGTGTTGATTAGACAAAATTGTAAGTTCTTCCTTACTTATTGGTTCAGGTTTTGAAGTCTTTGAGGGTTCAATACAGCATTTAGCAATGTCTATGTTGATTAAACTCTAACAAATAAGAAAATAATAAAACGAAATTAGTATATAAACACACAAAATGAACATTTTAGTGTAATATGTCTATTTTATAAAAGTATTTTATAGCACAATGTACAAAACTTCTTGGTGATTAGGTGAGGACCATGAGGTGAGCCTCCAAGGGCGCTTTGTTGCTTAGGCATTGCCTTGACAACTATGCCTGTAAGAAGTGATTTCTTGCAAGTTGAAGTGGCTAGAGAGCTATGGGTAGACCAAAAAGGACATGGGTAGAACCGTAGAAATAGCGTGAAATGAATTAATTGTCTATGATTTAACAATGGACATAGCATTAAACAGAATGATATGGCAAAACAGGATTCATGTAGCCGAACCCATATGGTTGGGGTGGGTGAATGATTATGATGATGACACAAAAAGAGTTTCTTTTAGAAAAGAATAATATAAGGCATTCCTTTAAATAGTTTTTGCACTCCCAAGAGAATGACATGCCTTTAATCTTTCTAATAACCAGTTCTTTGGACTGAGCTTTGTTTTCAAATGTTCTAGCATTCATTTCCATCCACATTGCCCAGCAAACAGCAAAAGGAGCAATTGTTATTTATCAAAAAAGGGGCATTTTCACACCACCTTCCTTCTACTCAAGTCTGATAAGTGTCAGTACTCTAAAATGCTTCAACTGATTCTGGACAACAGTCATCCACCCTAAAGATTCAATGTTCCTTTAAATAGTTTATGCACTCCCAAGAGAATGGCATGCCTTTAATCTTTCTAATCACCAGCTCTTCAGACTGAGTTTGTTTTCAAATGTTCTAGCATTCATCTCCACCCACACTGTCCAGCAAACAGCAAAAGAAGCAGCTGTCATTTATCAAAAAAAATGGGCATGTCTGCACCACCTTCCCTCTCCTATTCAAGTCTGATAAGTATTAGGACTCAAAAATGCTTCAACTGATTCTGGACAACAGTCATCCACACAATGTTTTTCGTGAATCTGCAATGCAAGAAAACATGGTTCACTGTTCCATCACATTCATTGCACCACACACAATCACTACTGCCCACCACCACATTGGGATATCTTCTAAAAGTGGGGTGCCAAACCACTGCCCTGCCCCTTTACAGATCTCATCAGCTTTGTTTCCAAGCTGGTGAGTTCAACAGCAATAACTGCAAGAAAAGCAGATTGACCAATTATTGTGAGAAAGCCATCATCAGCTTCATTTCCAGGTTAGGAACTCTACAATTTACACACTTATTCTTCTTTGGTTATTCTTTTCAAATCATAGAATGCTGATGTTCTTTTAATTTTGGAGAAAATGGATTTAGTAGAGCATTTTTCTTGGTTTTTCTTTTTTATTTAATCCCTAGATTGTGTATTTACATCAGGGATTTTGATTAATTAACACTCAAGAATTGAGGGAGAACCACTTCACTTTTTTTTTTTTTTTTTTTTTTTTTTACATTTGAGGTTTTTTGAATTCTTATTACTTGAGTTACTTTTGTCATTTTAGCTTGTTCTTTGATACTTTTTGAAGATAAATATTTGTTTATTCACCCTTCATTTCCTCTATAAATTTGTGTAGTTTTAGGTTTTACAGATTTATGATTAATGAACTTGGTGATATATGGACAACTGACTGAACTTGTCATACCTTTGAGGCCTGTAAAGGTATTTGCCATCTACATGCGAGACTTTTTACCATGTGCTGTTTTTTCCTCTCTATGCCTGTCTCTATCTTTTGCTTACTAGTTTTTCCCCATTGGAGTGTTATGTTTATGTCATTGGAAGCTATTTAATTAAAAGAAGTTTTTTATGCTTCTCCTAACCTTGCACAGGAATACAGAACACAAGAACAAAAAAGAAATTTGTGTTGATAAAAAAGACAAAAGCTATTAGTTGATTTCAGCCAAAGTTGCTTGTCAAAAAAAAAAAGAAAAGCTGAAATTTGCTTTTTATGTATATATAACCTATAAATAAAAGAGAAAATTCCACTTCCCCAGTTCAA